TAAAACCAAAAAAACCCATTGTTACTGATGCAAATCCAACTCACAGTGACCCTACTGACAGGGAATTGCTGACCTTTTGGTTAGTAGCTGAGTGCTAAATGACAGGACCAAGGCTCCTTAGAACTGGACCACAGGGTTTCCAAGGCTGTAATCTTCACAGAAGCAGACTACCACATATTTCTCCCAGGGAGCAGCTTCTAGGTTTATATTCCCAAACTTTAGGTTGGCAGCTAAGCGCTTAACCACTGCACCACCAGGCTCCTTGACAAGTGTAAACTGCTTGAGTCACCAAGGACCTTTCTGTTTAAGCTATTTGAACTCCAAATTCTAAACTATCATCCAGCATGCCAAAAAAAAAAAAAAAAAAAAATGCATGATAAATAATCTGGTTAACAGAATTATCTACCAAAGGGTCATCTCAGTAAAGGCTACAAGATACACACACAAAATACCAAATATGTAGGCAACAGGCCAATTCAAAAAGCTACATTTTGGTGGTTCTAAGCACTAGGGCTTGCTGTCACACCGAGGAAGCTTATTGAAGGACAGATTCTGGAATCTTACTTTTTGAGATTTATCTAGTAGGTCTGAAATGGGTCTCAGAACCTGTATTTCTGATTCGCTTCCCTTGTGACTTCAGTGCAAAGTCTGGGAACAAGTACTTTAGGATCTCACAGTGCCTAAGGGACTTGACTTCACTCACTGCAGAAGTACTGAATATTTGTCATTTATTCAACATTTCACCTATCTATTGTTCAAAATCCTACTGAGCTTACACTATTAGGAAGCCCCAAGAGAAAGTGCTAAATAAACCAGCTTTCACTATACTTGATTAACTGTTCCAGTATTTCCATACCCAGGAATTTTACCAAATGCATAAGAAACAGCAAATGGCTTCAAAGACGTGAAAACCTGAACTCAAGGAGTACACAAACACTCGTACTATAATATAAGGTATGTATTAATTAATCTGGGAGCTCTGGTAGCATAGTGGCTAACCAGAAGGCTGGCGGTTCAAACCCACCAGCCACTCCCCAGAAGGAAGATGGGGCAATCTACTTCCGTAGTGATACTGCCTTGGAAACCCAAGAAGGGGTCGCTATGAGTCGGGTCCGACTCGACAGCACATAACCAACAACAACATTAATTAATCAATCACAGCTTTCTAAAGGAAAGCATGGTGCCATGGTAACATCTTTGCCATCAGTATGAAACAAGGATTTGAGTCACAGCTGTCTGGTCTTGACTAACCCATATGACTACCAAGGCCTCAATTCTGGGTGAGCAGAGGGTAGTGCTTAGGTCTAATTTATATATGAGTCCTTCCATCCCCAAACTTCTATAGTTTCTCATGGGTAAAGGGTACAGATTCCAAAGAAGGGAGAACCCAACCAAAATTGGAACCCCACAAGGAAGCAGCTGAAAGAAGGACTTCAGCTGGGCCCAAATAGATGGGATGGAAGAGTCAAGCTAAAAACCAGTAAGAAGAACTAGATGATGCCTGGCTACCACTACTGACCAATCTAATCAGGGCCATAACAGATGGACCCTGAATGAAGGGGAGAAAAATGTGGAACCTCAAATTCTTTAAAACAAAACAATAAAACACACCAACTCGGCTGGTTGAGACTAGGGAAGAAAACTCAACCTCACTGCCATCAAGTCTGATCCGACTCATAGTGACCCCTTCCCTTGGGTTTCTGAGGCAGTATCTCTATGGAAGTAGATTGCCCAATCTTCCTTCCAAGGAGTGGCTGGTGGGTTTGAACCGCCAGCCTCTGGTTAGCAGTTAAGTGTCTTCAGCACTACACCACCAGGTTGAGACTAGAGGACTTCCCAAAAATATTGCCCTAAGATACTCTTCACACCTCAAACTGAAAATAACTTCTGAGTTCACCTTGTAGCTAAATAAAAAATTGGCTCAAAATTAACAAATATCATCCATAGATATGCTGCTCCTTTAAAAAATCACCTATACGAGACCAATTACTTGAATACAAAGATAAGAATATAAAAGGGGAGGGAAACTAGATTAATGGAAATGGAACAACCAAACAGAAATGAGAATGTTTTATGCATTGTGAAGAACATCATGATGTCACAGAGTAACTTGTGTAAAAACTGTTGAATGGGAACCTAAACTGTTGTGTAAACCTTCACTGAAAACACAATTAAAAAACAGCAACAGTGGGGTGGGTATGCCAGAAAGTGGGAGTTACAAGAGCATATGTACAAAGGCTGGGTAAAACATCAATTTGCAGGTGATAAGGCCAGTCTGACAACAGTGAATAGAGGATATAGCCCTGGAGTCATTCCTCAAAAAAGTTAAGTATTTAAATGAGACAGTAAAATGGCAGAAAAGCACAATAGAATTCTGAGTGAAAAGTAACATGAATAAAGTGGTGCTCTTGCAAGATCAGTCTAAGAGTCATCTCTAGAATGGGCTGGATGCAAGAAAGAGTCTGATTTATGGAAAAATACCCCAGGAAACTGAAAGGCATACATGCAGCTTCCAAAAGGTACTTAAAGCAATAAACCACCACCACAAAAAAAAAAAAAAAAAAACTAGCTCAAGACACTAAGAGCACAACACATGTCTAATTGAAAAATAAGAACACACACACACAAAGAACAGACAGACAAAAATTGTTCTACAATTTTGGAAAATGGTCAGCTTTGCCTCTCAGAGAAGTCTCGGCCAAATTGAGGATACCAGCTGCTATCTGATATTTTTGCAGGAACCAAATGGGGGTGGGGAAAGAAGTTGCCTACTGCTCACCCACCACACCCACCCCCATTTCAGAAAATCAGAAAAGTAGCAGATGTCACAGTGTAAAAGCCACAAGGCATTATTGTCCTTTCTTCCACATTTTCAGCCTGAGCAGGTGGGCCCTGAAGAGAGAAAGGTTAGTGAAAGGAGTAAGGAAACAGCTGTCATCTGTGGTCTTCCTTACAGACCCTGGATGAATCTCCAATGGTAACCCATCTTCCCTGCATTTCTACCTTCTTCTAGACCTTATTTATAGTCAGGACATAAAGCAAAAACTGAGTCACTAGAATGAAATAAGGGAGGCTATTTCTGGAATGGGAAACGGACATTTCCTGGGATGAATCAATTCCAACCATCTATTCCAGATCCTTTTGTGATCTCAACTCAGGGCCTCAGAACTTAAGATACATAAGCAGCAATCCTGGAAATAAATTTAAATTTGGGGAAAGGGAAGCCCACAACAATCTTCAGTTGGATAGAGCAAATCAAATAGTATCATTAATTTCCAGGTACCTTCCAACTATCAAAAGATTAATCTCTGGTACACAATGAAAACTGTACAGAGAAGTGTGGACAATTAGAAAAGCTAGTCCATACTGATAAAATAATTCTAATATTTTTTCTCAAATTTGGCAACATAATCATGGTCGATTCATTTTCTGACTGAAGAGTGAAATCTTTTTCTTAGGACACGTTCTTGATCACCTTATAAGTAAGTCTACCTGGGAGTCACTGCGTACAGTTTAAGGAGCTCTTGTGGTATAGTGGTTAAATTACTCGGCTGCTAGCCAAAGGTTGGCAGTTTGAACCCATCAGCTACTCCACAGGAGAAAAATGAGGCAGTCTGCTTCTATAAAGATTTACAGCTTTGGAAGCCCAATAGGGCAGTTCTACTCTGTCCCACAGGGTCACTATGAGTCAGAATTGACTTCGTTGTAGTGGGTATGGGTGTATAGTTTCCTCAGAAGAGATAAAGCTGGTAGGCATTTTTCTTACAGGCCAATATATATGAAGAATGAGATGTCAAAGCTATGCAGGGTTACAAAATTACCTAAACTGACAATCCTAAGAGAAGCAACTTTTAAGAACAAAGATGACACTGCATTTCCAAATACCTGAAAAAATGAGCAGAAATCTTCTAGACAAGTCTTTAAGTAAAGATGGATGCCACAGTCAACCTTGACTAACTTCTCTTCACCACTTCAGGCTATATTCCGGGCTGATTTCTTAAATCAAGGGTGGAAAATAGGTTTCAACTTGAGTCAATTGATAGAGGCTGCCAGAAACTCTATTTTGAAAAATATTTGGGAGCCACATCTAGATTCAGTGAGAAAAACTGCCATGATTGATGAGCAACGCCTACAATGGCCAGGAGAGGGTAAATTGATGGTACACGTACTAAGAGTTTGCCAAAGGCAACATCCCCTTTATTTTTCTAAAGGAAAAGTAATCCATATTGCAGATCAGATTAACTTCTTAGGCAGAGAAAATCTACATAAGAGTTTCAAAAATTTAAAGACAAGGTACCCACAAAATTATTTCATATACCTTAGAGAAAAAATGTGCATGGTATTTATGCTCTTCTAGTAAGTCTCCTCAAAGTAAGCTGAATCTGCCAGAACCATATCAAATCAAACCCAAGGGGCCAATACAGCCTGCCACTTCTTTTTGTAGCACGCATGACCTAAGAATGGTTTTTACATTTTTAAATGGCTGAAGGAAATATATAAAGAATTCTCTTTTGTGACATATGAATATTACATGGAATTCAAATTTCAGTGTCCACAAATAAAGTTTTATTGAATCACAGCCACACCTGTTTGTGTATGTATTGGTAGTGTCTGCTCCCATGCTACAAGGGCAGAGTTGAGAAGCTGTAACAGGGATCATATGGCACACAAAACTTAAAATATTTACAATAATCTGTCTTTTTACAGAAAAGTTTGGCAAGCCCTGTGCTAGAAGAATTGGCCCTAAAGTTCTCTCAAACTGTAGGTCAAGTAATTCTCTATAGGAGTAGGGATTGACTTCAGTAAACTTCATAACGTGATTACATACAGTACTGATGAATAAATAGCTGCTATCATGGAAAGAGCATGAAAAAGTTTATTATGCTTCCCAAAGAAGTATCTATATGGGTCAGAAATGAGTACAGGAAAAATCTACAAGTAAACTAATTATTTTTTTAACTTCAGTTCTGAAAGTAGATGTAAAATTTTTTTAAACATACTTTTATTGTTTTGGTTTGAAGTCTCAATCCATTCAGCGTGTTGATAGCTTTCTCTGCATCCTTAGGGTCAATGTAGTTCACAAAGCCATATCCCAAGCTCTGTCCTGATAGAAGGGAAGGGGAAAAAGGCATATGTATTAGTTCTATGCTCTGACAAAGATCCACTTTCATCTTGGTGTAAGGTCTTGGCATTAACACCAGCATATTTTCCCAGTAGCAAAAAGAACCCTAGGTAATTCTTCTAGAAATATGCATGCAGTCTTTTTCCATCTCCTGTCTACTACATTTGCAAGTTTAAACATCAGTTAGAACTCAGCAAACAGTGTTGTTTAAAAAAGCACACATCCCCAAAGGGCTCCATCATACGTGCCCTGCCTGAGGCAGAAGCACACCGCAGCAAAGCCGCCCTCAGTTTAAGAAACTGTGGGTATAAGTCTCACAGGAGCTGCTGAGTGGGCTTAACAGGCATTACCTCTTGGTTTCAGTTTCCTTACCTATAAAATGGGAAAGCTGTAAGCTTCAGTCAAGAAGCTGTCAGTGTTCTGTGAATTATACCCTGACACATTTATATCATTTACCAAATACAATTTTATCAGCATCTGAAATGATAAAGAACCATGTATATTTGGATTTATAAGGAGCTCTGGTGGTATAGTGGTTAAGGCACTTGACTGCTATCCAGAAGGTCAGTGAGTCAAACCCACTAGCTACTCCATAGGAGCAAGATGAGGCAATCTACTTCCCTAAAGATTTACAGCCTTGGAAACCCAATGGGGGTCACTATGAGTCAGAATCAACTCGATGGCAGTGGATTTTTTATATTTATATTTATATTTATTTTGGAGAGCAGATTCTTTAAACAAAATTGGATCAAGTTTTCTTAAGCGGCTTTTGTGATCTAGATAAGGACTAGATTTAAACCAATGATGTCCAAGCCAATTAGAACATGAGATGAAAAAAAAAATTCAGTCTCTCCCCACATGTAACACACCTGTTACTTACACCCTTTCACCCTTGGCTCCAACTCTCAGAGAATTAGAGGTATCATACAGTACTTATGAATAAACAGTGGTATTGAAAATAACACACTGTGTGGGGTTGGAATCAATGGAATGCACTCACAATTAAATCTAATGCTGAAAGTGTCAACTTTTAAACTAATGTGAAGTTTCTTTGTTTGGAAACATGAGAAACATCTACTTAATGTACTGAAAGTCAAATAAAACTAATTGAAAGTTCTCTGAAAGAAATGCAATAAAGGTCCAAATGCTTTGATTGAATACCATTTTTGCATCAAGTCAATTTCATAGAGAAGTGAGGGATTGGTTCTTGATGGGAGACCTTAGCTCATGGTTATTACAAGTATTTACAATAGCTACTTTGGTTACCCTGATGTGGCTCCTTGTAACTTCACAAAAGAAACAAAAGGCTACATAAATTATGGATCTAATAAACATAAACACCTATGACTGTTATTTTGGGGACCAATATCAGAATTTGGGATAATCATTGCTGACCTATGCTCTCTTATTGTATTTTTCTAGTTTGTTTTGTTTTTTTTAAAAGACAGTGCTAAAAGTAATTGAGAACATTTTTTTCCCTCACCTTAAAATTCAGAAAGGTTCTATTTTACTCTCAGTTCTTAAAAAAAAAAAAAAAAAGTGTCATGTAAACTATATTTGCAAGTATTCAGCTTTTTACTAATTCAATAAACATTTATCATGTGTCTACTGCATGTACTGTGCCACCTCATGAAATGTGTTTCACCTCTATTGTAATTGAGCGCAATTCAAATCAGCTGAACCTAACAAAATCTGCTCATGGAAGCAATTTATGATGGAAAGAATGTGGGCTATGGAGATGAGACACATGAGTTCCAATCCTGGCTCTGCCATTCACTAGCTATGTGACTCTGAAAAAGTTACTTAACCTCTCTGAGCTGCAGCTTCCTTATCTCTAAAACAAGGACAGCAACTCCTACCCAACTAGATTGCTGAGGCAATAATGAAAACATTCAATATTGATGGAAATAGGTCATGAAAAGATGGGTGCTCTGGTGGCATAGTGCCTAAGGCATTTGACTGCTAACCAGAAGGTTGGTGGTTCAAACCCACCAGCCACTCTTTGGAAGGAAAACTGGGCAATCTACTTCTGTAGTGATACCATCTCAGAAACCCAAGGAGGGGTCACTATGAGTCAGAGACGCCTCTATGGCACATAACAACAACAGTCAAAAGATAACACAGAGTAACTACTACATGGTAAGGAGTTTAAATATATTCATTTATGAAGTTGTATCAGGAATGTGCTACAAATGTAACGGGGAAAAGAAAAACTAAGCCAAATGTTGCGTAGTTTTTGTCATACTGCTATTCTATGACAAAATAAATCAACTTGTCAATTGTAGTAGCGTTAAGAGTCCAATTTTCCCTTCCACTGGCAATGCTCTTTGGCCTGCACTTTAGCAGCTTCTCATCACAATGTTTCTCAATGTTTGCTGCATACTAGAATCATCCAGAAAGCGTCACATGAACAACACTGCTGACAAAGCCCCAGTCCTAAAGATTCCGATTTCACCAGTCTGGGATGAAGTATTAGTGGTGGTTGTTAGGTTCCATCAAGTCAATTCCCACTGAAAGCAACCCCATGTGATAGACTGCACCATAGGGTTTTGTAGGCTGTGACCTTCACAGGAGCAGATCACCAGGTCTTCTCTCCAATGGTACCACTGGTGGGTTAGAATCACCAACTTTTGGTTAACAGCTGACTGTCATCGTTATGTCACCGGGCTCCTTGAAGCATTGGTACCTGGTTTTTGCTTAAAATGTAACATGTAGCCAAGGTTGACCATCACTTGTTTTAATGGTGAAAGATAACCTGGGGCTACCAAGGCTCCTGAGAACCAGGAGAGGGGCCAAGTGGTAGAGGTCTGGAGGTGTGAAGTGAGTATGCCTTTTAACACTTCTAAGATGGATGTGGTAGCATAGTGCCTAAAGCACTTGACTGCTAATCAGAAGGCTGGCGGTTCAAACCCACCAGCCACCCCTCAGAAGGAAGATGGGGCAATCTACTTCCGTAGTGATACTGCCTCGGAAACCCAAGGAGGGGTCGCTATGAGTCGGGTCCAGCTCAACGGCACATAACAACAACAAGATGGATGTGGCACTCTTCTAAAATCTTCATGTTATCCATCTCCTCAGAGTAGTTTATTGGCCCCTAAAGGTCAATCTTCAGCATAGCAGTACACACTGCAGTTGGATCACTGGGTAAAGTGAAAAGCATGGCCTGCTTAACCGTCCCCGCCGGTGCTGGCCTCTCGTTCCCTACTCCTAGCACACTGTAGGCACACAAAGTTTTATTAAATGAATGAGTGAGGAGCTGAGTGGTGTTATTTATTTAATCAAAGGTATTATCATCAACAAGGACCCTGGGGGCACAGTGGTTAAGTGCTGCTAACCAAAAGGTCGTTGATCCAAACTCATTAGCCATTCTGCAAGAGAAAGATGAAACAGTCTGCTTCTGTCAAGATTTACAGCCCTGGAAACTCTATCAGACAGTTCTACCCTGCCCCTATGGGTCACTGTAAGTCAGAATCAACTCAACGGCAGTAGGTGTGATTTGGGTTTTGGCATTATCCACACCCAACAGATGGCCCATCTACTGAATGCAGCTTTGACTTGAACCCAAGAACGTTAACAGCCCGCTACAACATAATCAGTCACTCAAATTTCTACTACCTGTAAATTAATTTCACTCTGACCATGTTTGTCCCCAAATGTCCTCTCCCCTGCTTACAAAGTTTTTTAATTTGCCTAGCTGCATCACTAGGAAAGTGCCACTGTCAATTAAAAACATGTCTGAAGTAAGCAAAATTTTACTAGTATCCTAAGCAGAATAATATAAGAAAGGGGGTTGTTGTTGTTGTTGTTATGTGCCGTCGAGTCAGCCCTGACTCATAGCGACCCCTCCTTGGGTTTCCGAGGCAGTATCACTACGGAAGTAGGATTGCCCAACCTTCCTTCCGAGGAGTGGCTGGTGGGTTTGAACCGCCAGCCTTCTGGTTAGCAGTCAAGTGCCTTAGCCACTATGCTACCAGAGCTCCCAAGAAAGGGGGTACCGGATACTAAAATGCTATTTTCCTACTAAGTCTAGTCCTGTAGATTCATTAAAATGTTAGCATGGGAATGAAATCAAAGGAGATAAGAACTTTACAGTATTTTCATTTTAAAGTGAGTTAGTCAAGTAAACGAATATTTATCGGATGCCTAAACTATAAAGGAGCTCTAGTGGTGTAGTACCTAAGGCAGCTGATTGCTAACCAGATGGCTGGGGGTCCAAACCCATCAGCCACTCTCTGGAAGGAAGAAAGGCCAATCTATTTCCATAGAGATACCACCTCAGAAACCCAAGGAGGGGTCACTATGATTCCAAATCAACTCGATGGCAGAGAGTTTGGTTAAACTATATAAAGGCACCAGATGACACCAACACAGGCAAGACTTTCTCAATTCTCACCTTTCAGCTACCTGGTGCTTTACTATTTAATTTTAGCCTCACATTAATCATGTATGATATTCAGATTCTCCTCCCTATAGATAGAAATGTTATCTACAAGGTTCACTGGATTCCCCAAATGAGGAAGGGGGAAAAAAGAAAAAGTAGGAAGGGGTAAAGCCAAGACTTGAACTCAGGATTCCTCGTTCTCAAATGCTGTAATAGACTACATATTTCAGGTTATTGTAAGTGAGTATAGATTTTTAAAAAATAAAAAGCAGAAGCAACACTTAGCCTGGATCCACTTTCCTGACTATTGTGGTTCAACAGCTTATAGCAGCCATAAACCACTAGGGAAAGCTTGGAAACCAAGCATCTTTTTTATGTGTATCATCCAACTCTATTTTTCAAGTCATTTTGAATTCTGAACGTGATTACTGGTATATCTTAAAACCAAGAGTCATTTCTTTAAAAAAAAAAAAAAAAACTGATAAAGCTACATTTAAATTCCAAGTATAAGCATTATGGAAATCAACATGATTAAAAGAAAATTCTGAACAAAATGACAAAGCTAAGGCTCTCCCAAAAAGCTTTCAAGACAAATAAATAC